GGTAAGCACAGACACGAAACAACGGCTCGGCCGGAGCATATTTTCCTATCCTGAAGGATGACACAGCAGTCCCCTCTTCAGAAGTTTCCTGATTTTTCTCCTATGTGGAAAGATGGCTTTACAGTGAAGAAAGGCCCTTTTGACACATGCAAATGCAGGCCGCAAGGTGCCCGTGGAGGGCCCAGTGACCGTCTGAAGCCTGGGTGCTCACCCCAGGGAGATTGAGAGGGCTTCAGGTGCTCCTGCTGGAGTCAGAGGTGGGGGGCTCGGTTGCCCCCAGCTGGTGAGAAAGGTAGGAAGGAGGAGGCATCTCTGCGGGCCCCTTGAAGGTGTGAGGCAGCTTTCCCTGGGCCATTCATCACCAGATCAGAAAGAAGCCTCTGGAGGCCACACTCCTGTAACCATAGAAACAGGAGCTCTGTGGACCATTCCTCTCTTATTAAAAAGGATGAGGTGGTGGGTCCCCTGGCATGGAGATGACTGAGAAAGGGCAGGCCTTTGTGAGGGGCCCACTCCGGCTTCATGTCCGGTCTGCCCCCAACCCTCTCGCTGGTCTGCAGAAGGAGGCTCTGTGGAGACTTCCAAGCTGCACAGCTGTCCCTGAGGAAGGGACAGAGATCTGGCATCTTTCTGGGCACTGGCATATCCGGGAACTCCTCTATTCTTTTGGGATCTCTCTGTGAAGCAGACCCTATCGTCACTTCACAAACAGGGAGGTGTGATCCAAAGAGGGCAAACGACCTGTCTGAGCCATGCAGCTAGTAAGGGCTGGGCTGGATCCAGACGCTCGTCTGTCTGAACTCCCCAAACCTGGTTTAACTCCGGCTGCATTCCACCTCTTGGAGCAGGGGACGGAAAGATAAAGTTGGCTGGGGCCCTAAAGTTGGCTAACCAAATGACAGTGGCCAAAGAGAAAGGAAGGATCCAGCCAACCCCCGGTCCCAAGCCGGGCAGAGGGACAGGCCTGGGTTTGAATCTCCCGAGTGACCTTGGGCAAGTTTCTTATCCTCTCTGATTCCTGCGTTCTCACCTGGGAAATGGATCTCAGAGGACCTGGCGTGGTTGTAAGACCAGAAATGTGTTATTTAAGCTCTGGCCTTTAAAAAGTGCTCCCTAAAGGCAGCTCTGGCTCATGGTTATTAGTACAGAGCTGCAGATAGGATGGGGGGGGGGGTCCTCACACAGCCCCACAAACAGGGAAGATAAGCCAAGAACGGAACTGTGCTCTGGGCAGGGCATGAGAATTTTCTCCCTCCCTGACAATTGGCTCTTGGTAGCCATCCTTTTTATTGCCAAGCATTTATGCACATTGTCTAATTTCATCTTCCTCACGGCCCGGAGAGGGGAGGATTACTCTCCCACATTACAGGTGAGGAAACTGAGACTCAGAGATGAAATGACCTGCCACTTGAAGCCGGCCAGGTCCTGCTGGTCAGCCTCCTGAGCCTATGCTCTCCAGAGCCCTGCTCCCTGCTGTTCTGGCTCCCCATGGCCACCCAGGACCTGGGGACTGGCTTCTGGATCCGTGGTCCCCAGAAGGAAGTCCTGTGTCTACCCTTGGCCCCCACCACCCCCCTCAGAAGGTCAGCCCAGCAGCCACACATGACCTAGCACTCTTAGCCCAGTGGGAACGACTGACCACCAGATGTGAACGATCCAAGCTGCCGACTTCACTAAGACGCGGGAGAAGCAGGGTTCGGCCTGGAATCTATGGGTCCCTGCCCTCCCTGCCTCATCACCAAACGGTTACAGGACCCAGTCTCAGGCTCACAAGACCCACACGAACCAGCCAGGCAGACACACGGGCCCCTTGAAAGGATTCTCAGGCTGGCCTTCCCCCCCCCCCCCACCCCTTCTCCATCAAAGCACTGCCACAGCTCACAATGAGGGCCAGGGGAGCTGTAAAATCCCCATTTGCCACAATTAGCAGATGAGTAATGAAATGACAGTGGCAGCTGGCAGTGGCCTCTGCTCTCTCGAGGCCCACACCCCTTCCTCCTGTGAATGCCAGATCATGACAGAAACCAGCAGAATGTCTGGTACCCAGAGATACCTGGAAATACACCACTGGGCTCTCCTACTCTTTGGAAATCCGGACCATCTTTCATGTTACTGGGGAGCTCCTGTTCTCTGCAAGAGGCCTGCAGTTAGAGTCCCTAAAGACAGAGTAAACTAGGGGAGGGCATCCCCAAAGGAGGAGAAAAGAGGAAGGAAGAGGAAGGAACAGTGTTTGCAAGGACCCTGAGCCAGAAGGAGCTGGCATGGGACCAGAAAGCAAGCAGTGTGGCTGGAGCACAGAGTAGGGTGTGAGGATGGGGAAAGTGCTGAACAGATGGGGCAGAGACATTTGGGGGGGGGGGGGTGCATAGGCCACGGGGAGAATTTTGCCACGCTATAGGCATCATGTGGCTTGTTCTCTTCTGTACGGGTAAGTCCTTTAATAGTTTCCTAGATTTCAGCAGACTGTTTAAATTCATCTGTAGATGGCCACACGTGCCTTAAAACGGTACGGTGTTAGCGTCTGGACCATAATCTGGCAAAATTGCCACGCGTGTTTGTTTACAGGTGCATGGCACGTAAAAGGGCTAGAGGCAGCCATATCATCCCTAAAGCCAGGGGCCACCTGAGCAGGAGGACAGCCCAGCTCCAGGTGCCCTGCCAGAAACCTTCTGCCTTCTCTGGGCCAGCAAAGAAAGGACCTCGGGGCCCTCAGGCCCAAAGAGAGCTGAACAAAGTCCCCACCAGAGAGAAAGAACTATTCCCTCAAAACGTTCCCGTCCGGCTCAGTTCATCAAATCTGCTTTATGTAGCGCAAAATAAACACAACCCTAATTAGCAGGTTCATGCTGCAGCTGAATTGTCTCTCAAAAGCGCATCCTGCTTCCAGCCTCAGCATCCCCAGAGGAGGCACAGCATCTCCCCGAGAGGCCGGCCAGGCTTTGTGGAATCGTCATTCCTGTGGCGTTCATGCTCTTTCCTCCCAAAAGCTGTTTGCAGAAGGACAGCACCTCCAGGTCTGATCTCAGTGAACTCCCGTGCCCTGGCCAAGTCCGCTCAGTCAGGAGGAATAATATGGTTCACCGGTGAGCTTGGCTGGATCACAAGCTAAAGCAGGTACGGCCAGGGAAAGTCTTCCTGAATGCCGGAGCTGGAAGGCGGTCATCCTTGCATGACTTCATTCACTGAGCAAATATGTATGGACTGGCCCCTATCCCGTAGGTGGTGGGAGACCTCAGGCTGTGCTACCCACTGCTGGAGTTTCTAGAGCTACGTGGGCAGAGTTCAAGTCCCAGCTCTACCACCCAGTTATAACAAAATTACTTTCACCCATTGATTCTAGTTGGTTTTCTCCCCCGTGAAGGGTGCTGGGCATACCAGGGTGGGGGCCATGGAACCCCGGTTGAGAACCACTCCACCTGGCCAGTGTGTCACTGGCTCCTGGTGCAACATCTGGGTAAGCCTAGTCTCGAGCCTCATCTAGCTCTGTGGCTGGACCTGGAATTCCGGAATGACTCCCAGACGTTTGGTGGCCAACCACACCCAGAGCCCCTCCAGGCTGGCGCTAGGGTGACCGAGCACGTCTGCAAGATACAGCTCTGAGATGACCCCGTAACAACCGAGGGCACCCGAGAGGGTGGACCGCGGGGCCAGAGCAAGGGAATCAGCAATGATTCCTTCTGTCATCTTCTCACCAAGCCGAATTCATCCTCCCGCGTGCCAGACGCCGTGCAACGTGCTTTATAAATACCGTAACGTTACTCGTCACACGAGCTGTCTCAAGTTAGGTGTTTCCCTCTCCGCCACGTCACCTCGTGCCACATTCGAGGAACCTGAAGCTTATGGGTGTTAGGTTATACAGCCCAGAATCACACGGCTGGTCATGTTCAGAGCTGGGGTTCAAAACCCCAAGTCCATGTGCTTCACTATTATTTTCTTCCTTTACAAAGTCATACATTCAGTGGGAGTGGGGAGCCTCAGTTTCCAAACTCCCCGGTCAGCTGTCCTATTTTAAAACAGAAGGTGGATGTGCTCAGAAGCCCCTCAACACTCGTCCTCTGGGCTTGGTCTCAGCCTGGCACACAGCCTGGGCCAGCCTGGGCTTGCCTGGGCCACGCCGCCTGCTCTGGTCAGGCTCCCGAGTTCAAAGCTTCCCCCTCATAAAAGAAGGAGCTGCTACAGGGAAGGCTTTTGGAAAGCCCGGAGCTCTGCTGAGGACGGCCAAGCAGCCAACTGGCCTGGGAGGTGGGAGTTCGCCCCGGGCAGCCTGAGTGGCTTCCTCCCAGGCTTTAAATGCATAGTTGATTTAGGGAGCATTTCCTCGGGTTAAATGTCAAATACACCTCCAAATCAAACATCAGAGATAAAAACAAGCTAGTGAGCTGCTCGGAGATGAGGAGAAAGTGGACTCTGGTCCCATGAGCAGCTTTCAGGCTGTGTCGGGGTGGGAGCCATACCTGAGTGACTCTTGTGGCCTGATGGGAAGATCTGAGCTGGGTGGCTGGCAAATAATTTCACCTAAAATGTCTGTAAAAGTAAGGTTCTGAGGACAACAGTCCCACCTTGAAGCTTGAAAACGGGCAACTTAGGATTTCCCCCGCTATAGGCACCCTAGAGACAAACACAACAGGGCCTGGAGCAGAGCACTGCAAAAGCATCTTGAGGAGGAGGAACGGCCCGCAGGCCTGTGGGCCTGGATGCTGCCCTCAATGCAGGTATTAGAATTTTTAAAGAAAAAACACACGTCAGGCTACAATGGCGGGGCATGGTGGGGGTTGGCGTATTAGCATTCTAGGGCGACCGTGACCAGGTGCACAAACTGGGTGGCTTAAAACAACATTTATTGGGGCTCCTGGGTGGCTCAGTCGGTTGAGCGTCCGACTTCGACTCAGGCCACGATCTCGCGATTTGGGGGTTTGAGCCCCGCATCGGGCTCTGTGCTGACAGCTCAGAGCCTGGAGCCTGCTTTGGATTCTGTGTCTTTCTCTCTCTGCCCCTCCCCTGCTTGTGCACACTCCCGCGTTCTTTCGTGCTCTCTCTGTCTCTCAAATAAATAAAAACAAAAACAAACAAACGAAAACTTAAAAAAAGAAAGCAACATGTATCGTTTTACAGTTCTGGAGGCCAGAAATCCAAAATCAAGGTGTCAGCAGGCTATGCTCACTCTGGGACTCGGGGTGGGATCCTTCTTTGCCTGTTCCTGGCTTCTGGGGGCGGCCGGCAATCCCTGCCATTCCTTGGCTGGCAGCCTGCCCCACTCTGATCTCCGCCTCCATCATCCCATGGCGGTCTGCTCTCCATGTGTCTGTCTCTCCTCTTCTTATAAGGACACGGGTCATATTGGATCAAGGGCCCATTCCATTCCAATGTGGCCTCATTTGAACGAGTTGCATCTTGTGAGGACCCTATTTCCAAATAAGGTTGCAATCTGAGGCAGTGAGAGTTAGAACCTCAATCTATCTTCTTGGGGGATGCGATTCTACCCATAACAACTGGCCACAAAAGAAACAAAATAATGGGAGTGTGGGGGCAGGCACGTATACTGTGTGTGCATCACTGTGCACCGGCCGGTCCACCAGAGCCCCATCCGGCCCAGGAACGCCCGTCCGTCCCTTTCATGGAGACACCCTGCTGCTCAATGACAAGAGCACGGCAGCCACATCAGGGTGCCCCCACTCTGCGATTTGAGAACCCAGAGGTCTTCCCTGGGGGACACTCACCCCCACCACACGGTTTTCCATACAAACGGCCGCTGCAATTAATAGGGTCATTACGCATTCTACCTGCTCCTTGACCCTACTGGGGCGCAACTTTTTTTGGTTGAGAATAACACCCCTTCAAGTACAAAAGCTGCGGATGACACGCTCTTGAGCAATAAAAAGACGTGAAGCACCACGAACCGAGTTGGCGATAATCACGTCGTTGCCGCTGCAACAGAACCAAGTTTCACCCTTTCTATAAAAGTGCCCAGCTGTCACACTTGTGTGAGTGGAGTTCTTTATTGGCCTTTCTGTGCTCTCCTACACATAATCCAAGCCAAGTTCTCACATCTTTCAAGTCAATCGTGAGAAGTAACTTTCTACTTCTTATCCACAGCAGCTTGTGCGCCCTCGTCGTCACAACGCCCAGACCAGTGGAAACAGGACGTGTATTCTGTGGCTGCAAAAGCCAACTTTACTTGTGGATCTGATCGCAATTTGGTGCGCATGCCTGTGAAGGGGTGTGGGATAGCGACACTGAGACATATTGCTAGAAAGCCACCCAGGACAGACAAGGAGGAGACAGAGGCTACCTCCAAACTCTTTTCCTGCAAAGCTTGAAACAGAAAAGTGGTTTGTGCCTGAGCTACCTAGAAATTCAAATTAGCCATTTTGCCCCATCCTAGGGAATTGAGTTTCTACTCTAAGAATTTAAATAAAATGTGAAGGCGTTACAGTCACCGCGTGATGTTAGCCTACCATCAGGGGACGGGACTCTCTTTCCTTGTTCCCCCCGCTCCCTGGCGAAGCCTCTCTTCTGGCTCCCCAGACACTTGGACCTCTTGGCAGTTGGCCCCTCCATACGTACCACTTCCCATAGCTTCCTTCCCTTCTCAGATTTCCCTCCGCCTTCATCTCTAATTAAGTCCCAGCGTCTGCGCCCAGCGGCTGCCCACGAAGGGAAGCTGCCAGCTATGGGTTTCAGTTACAGCGAATGAAAGAGGCTCTTTTCCCTGGAGACAAAGTCAGAGGAGTCTGCAAAGTACCACTCACCCCCTCCGTGCGGCCCCCATCTCTCAGCATTGACCAGACACCCCCACCTCCCTCCCACCCTCAGGAAGGGCACCTAAGCGTCCCAACAGAACCTTCTGGGTGGAGAGATCCCCAGGGAACAGAGTAGTTTCCTGGTGGGAAGGACAACAGAGTTTGTCTATTTCCTTTGGAATCTGTCCAGGCGGAGCTATGTCAAAGACTGGGCTGGGGTACAAAAGGCATTAGGCAGGGACCCCAGAGGACAGCGTGCAGAATTCTGGCCATTAGACATCAGAATGTGTTGTTACTGGCTACATCCACTCCTATTTGGCAAATGCAGTTTTTGGATAGGACTTTGTTTTTCAGTCTGGGTTGGATGTGCAAAGTGCCCGGGGTCAGAAGGGAAAGCCTGGGCCAGATGGCAAGGCCTGAGGCCAGGACGAGGCTGCTGGGCTCTCCAGGGCCCCAGCAAAGGCAGAGGCCCTGTGGAGTGGTCCTCGGGGCACTGATGCCTGGGCGATGAGGGCACAGCGATCCCCTCCAGCATCACCTCCCAGGCCCGAACAGAAGGGTGACGGAGACTGGCAGAGAAATAGCAGTTGTTTGATGAGAAGTCAGCAGCCTCTGCCTGCACAAGTTTTATGGACCAGAAAGGCTGCCGGAACAAGCCCCCGTCCCCAACCCGGCACTTCTCACGCACTTGCCTTTGCTTTTCCTCACCCCCCAATGCCTTCCTCAAGTTTGTTTAGATAATCGCAGCTCTATCGATACATCTTGCTCACACAATTCATCCAATTGAAGTGCGCAGCTAAGTGGTTTTTAATACGTTCAGAGTTGGGCAACCATCACCATAATCAATTTTAGAACAGTTTTAAGCCCGCCAAAAAAAACCCCCCACGTCCACAAGCAGTCACTCCTTTCCCCCCATTCTTCCCCAACTCTGGGCAACCATGAATCGACTTTCTATTTCTACATTTGCCTGTTCTGGGTATTTCGTGTCAGTGAAATCAGACCTTCCTCACTTTTTAAGCCCCACCCGGGGACCCAGTTCAAACATCCTGGGGCCCCAGCCTGACAAGACCCACAGACTCGGCCTCGGGAAATATGGGCAGAGGGACAGGCTCTGCCATTTCCTGGTGTGAGACCCTGACCAAGCCTCCTGGACCTGTCCCTTGGCCACAAACCAAGATTAATAAACAAGTGTCCCAGAGCCTTGCGGTGAGGACCCACCAAGATGGGGCGTGTGAACACACACATTGTACATGATAAAGCACATCACATGCAAATAAACAGAGCCCAATCCCAGCTTTTTGGGAGTTTATAAAGAAAAATAAAGAGCTGGTCTTCCTACCCTGATAATTCCAAGTCCCCTGCCCCAGCACCCACCTTTACTCTTCTTTTAAAACACTTCTTTAATGTTCATTACTTATTTTTGAGAGAGAGAGAGAGCATGAGGAGGGGAGGGGCAGAGAGAGAGGGAGACACAGAATCCGAAGCAGGCTCCAGGCTCTGAGCTGTCGGCACACTCAGAGCCCGACACGGGGCTCGAACCCACGAACCATGAGATCATGACCTGAGCCGAAGTCAGATGCTTAACTGACCGAGCTACCCAGGCACCCCCCACCTTTATTCTTCATATTCTTTTCTCCATGTGCCTAGGACACAGTTGCCAAAGAAAACTCAAGAGATGCTACCCTGACAAGCCAGGAAGAGAAGAGCTGCCCACTCCTCGGTGCTCTTTGGTGAGAAAATGACAGGATCGTCCTCACTGGGCAGGGTGTCAATGCAAAAGGTGCTGTGCAGTGATGAAAAATGGGTTGGACCGAGATGGTCCTGGGCCTAATGGCTGGTGCTGTTCTGTCACCTCTGGAAGCCCAATTGACCACCTCCCACCTTCTTCCTCCCCTGCACGATTTGGGATAAAAATAGGTACAACCTCCTGAGGTGTGTGCTCGGATCACCTGAGATAGGACTTAGCCCAGAGCTGGGCTATTGGTCAGTAGTGAATTGTAGCCACCACTGCTAATATCATCATGGTTCGAATCATCACTGCCAGTAGCAGAGGGCAAGGCTAGCCAATCTGTGAAGAGCACTGGCTCCCACCTCTTTATGCCTCAGTTTCCTCATGTTTAAATTAGACACAAATGGTACCAAACTCATAGGGTAACTGCGGGGTTCGGTGGGTTCATGCACATAATGTGCTTAGAGCAGTGCCTGGCACACAGAGCTGTAGGTGGATTGGTTAGTATTACTTCCTAAAAGGGTTTTTCCTCATTTCCTCATGGACCAACCCCAGTCCCTGGATTTCTTCCTCTCACTGTATCTTCCTTTCACTGGATAGCTTCCTCTCCCTGAATACCTTCTCTGGTCCCTGTTTTCCATTGCAAGTGTCCTTCTGGTATCTCCCCAACTTGTAAATGGCCTCTGGCTTTCCAGTCTCATTGGACAGTCTGTCTGCGCCTACAAAAGTCAAGGAACTAAAACCACCAGAGAGTCCTTTAATACCCTGGGGAAGGAGGAGAGACCCGGACCCATCCTTTGGGATGGGTCCCTGCAAGATCCAGCTCATAACATTTCCGGCTGAATGTTTTGGGCAAGATGAAAGCAATTCCAGCAAGTATCAAGGGTTCAACTGATCAGCCTCCAGCATAAAATTCCATTTCTTCCTTAGAGTTCTAGGCATGGCAAATCAGTGGCTTAAGGGGGTGAACGTTGGTGAAATCCAAAGAACCAGCAAAAAGAAGGTGGGACGACTGATTACCTTCCCATCTTGCTTCTGCTGATTGCATTATCATTTATCACAGCTCAGCAGGAAAAAGCTAGGAGAAGCATCCTATGATCCTGGGTTGAATAAATATCCCACTATCAGTGCTGGAAATACAAGCCTGATTCAGCCAAATCTTAAATGCATTTGCATCTAATCCCTTCATAATCCTTCCTATGGCATAGTATAAAAGCTGAACAAGATACTCCAGCCTCCCCAGGGTGCACAGGACAGGGACACTCCTGTCCAAACGTTGGGATGTAATTATCTAAGGCTGGGTGCTCCTCCGAGAATTTGCAGCCCCTGCACTCGTACTAATGACAACGTTCCTGTTCCAGATAATTTTGTGTACTTACAGACACACACACATACACAGATGGACATCAGGAGGCTAAACTTCAGTCAGAAGGACCAAGTTGAAAGGGATCCTTTTTTAAGTTTTGGAGAGAGAGAGAGAGAGAGACAGAGAGAGAATGTATGAGCAGGGGAGGAGCAGAGAGAGAGAGGGAGGGAGAGGATCCCAAGCAGGTTCCACACTGTCAGTGCAGAGTCAGATGGGGGGCTTGAATCCACGAACCATGAGATCATGACCTGAGCTGAAATCAAGAGTCGGACGATTAACCGACTGAGCCATTCAGGCACCCCCAGGTTGAAAGGGATCTCAAGGGTTGTCCCAGCCACCTATCTCTATCCTCATTTTACAGGACAGAGCACTGGAGTGCCGAGTAAGGACTAATTTGCCCTAATTAATGCTCTGTTCTTTTTTTTGTTTCCTCATTTGTCAAATGCAAATCATTTCCCCTGTATTTCAGGGGTTTTGAGGACTAAATTCGAACTGCAATACATGCTTAGGAATTTTACTTTCTTCTCTTCCTTCCCATGCTGACCTGCTATGTAATGACTCTGTTTTGTTTTCTCTTGAACACTTGGTAGGACCACAGCCATCCCGCCAAATAACTGAGGAAGCCGGAAAAGCTATGACGTTTTCCCCTTGCGAGGCACAAGCTTTCCCCCCAGTGCAGATGGGAGGACTTTGGAGGTTATATCCGTTCATCTATTTATTCAGCAAATTCAGAGTCGGTCATTGTTATAAGCATTAAGGGATACAAGAGTAATAAAAGATTTACTAAGAGAGACAGATCTTAATCAAATCATTACTCTCATAGTTAATTAAAGTTTTCATAAACGATACAAAAGGCAGACAGGTGGCTGTAAGAGTGTATAGCAGGAGGACTTAGCATAGCCTGGGATCGGGGGTAGTCAGGGAAGGCTTCCCTGAGGAAGAAATATTTCCCTCAGATATGAAGGATGATCAGGTATCTGTCCAACGACGAGTGGGACTAGGGGTGAGGGCTGGAGCGAGCAGCTCAGAAAGTGAGAGCGACGAGTGCAGAGGCCTTGGGGAGAGGAGTTACCTGCCAGATTTGAGGAACCAGATCGGACTAGAGAGAAGTCTGGTTTTGTGCTTGAAAACTTATTTGTTTTTGTTTAGCTCGGAGGAAGACAAAGATCATCAGCCCCAGAGCCCTGGGGAGGAAGGTCCGTTGGAGGGGGTAGTCAGTGAGTCAACGCACTGATCCTGACTCTGATCCTGACCCATAATTCAGACCAGGGTAGGAGCTGCTACAGCTCCAGAGGAATGGGTGAGACAGTCCTAGGAAGAGATCTCTGAACCCCTGAGACTGAGCAAGGCTGGTCCACAGAGCAGTCCCCACCAGTAGACCCTTATTCAAACACACCTCTCCCCCAATCTTGCCTCACCACTGCCTTTGCTACAGAAAGAAATGTGTTCCTATTTCATCAAGGACCCATCTTCCAGAACCAACTTGAAATCTAGAAGACCGCATAGCTCCCAGCATTTTTCGGGTTTCATGTCTTTATTAATCCTTATCCCAGGGACACTGTATATAGCACTTAAGAGCTTGGGTTCTATAGTTAGACCTCAGAGGTCTGAATCCTGACATTGTCATTTACTAGCTATGTAACCTCAGGCAAGTCTCTTAACCTTTCTGTGTCCTCATCTATAAAATGAAGATGACAATTTACTCACCTGATAGGGTTGCTTATAAAAATTAAATGAAACAATGTAGGTAAACATTAGGACAATAGGTGGGATTCCTCGATAAATGGAAGTTGCATTATTATTATTAATTATTATCATTAATATCACCATCAGAGCAACCATGTAATACATGTCCACAATATTCCAGAAACTGAGCTAAGTGTTTCACATACCTTAATTTGAATGCCCCCACAGTTTGGCACAATGATCCCAATTTTCTAAATGAGGAAACTGAGGCTCCGAGGAATTCAGTGACACAGCTATTAAGTGACAATAAAGATTCACACTCAGGCTCTAAAAGCAGTCCACTCTCTACATTTCTATCCCAAGTTGGCCACTTCTCATCAATGTGCTGTAAAATCCTGTTAATTACAACTAATGAGAATGAGGTTCTATACACTACCTGTTCATTGATTTGCAGATTTTTAATATCATTCCTTGCCCCAGGGGAACTCTCCAGGGGGCCATCATTACCATACAATTCTTTGGGGGAAACGAAACAACAGCTGGCCCTGCCAATCACCATGGCAACACTCCTGTAAGTACATAGAATCACATCAACGGAAAAAATCTATACATACGTGTATGTTCTATATTTGCCCTTAAACGCTACATTATACATTGACTCGCTGATGACACCATCAGGGCTCAGGTAGAGGCATTTTCAATCCGCTCCAAATCTCTCCCCCTTCTAGGATGCTTCCAAGACCCCATCCAGCGGGCACAGGCAGGGAGAGACGTTGCTAGGGAAAAGGGATCATTGCCAAGTTCTGGCCCACAGCAGCATATGCTTCACGGTGACAATGTGTAAGTGTGGGGATGGGGATGGTGTCGTGGGCGTGTGACCTATATAGTTGCATAGGGCTCTGCGTTCAGAAGGGTCCATGCTTGGTTTAGTGCTCTGCTTCTGCCAACCTCAAATTCTTAATAATTTTAAACGAGGGGCCATGGGTGTCCATTTTGCAGTGATCCCCACAAAATACGCAGTAGATCCCATGTGAGGAGTGAGCAATGGACAGGTACTTTATGCATTTCTTGTCTGGACGGCATTTGCCTCCTCTTTTCATCTCTCTCTCAGATCTGTGAATCCACCCAATATTCTAGCTCAAGAGTTTTTTTTTTAAATTTTTATGTATTTTTATTTTTTTCATTTTATTGTATTTTTGTTTTGTTTTGTTTTGTTTTAATTTACATCCAAATTAGTTAGCAGATAGTGCAACAATGATTCTGGGAGTAGATTCCTTAGTGCCCCTTACCCATCTAGCCCCCCCCCTCCTTAATCCCTCCCGTAACCCTCAGTGTGTTCTCCATATTTATGAGTCTCTTCTGTTTCGTCCCCCTCCCTGTTTTTATATTATTTTTGTTTCCCTTCCCTTATGTTCACCTGTTTTGTCTCTTAAAGTCCCCATATGAGTGAAGTCATATGATTTTTGTCTTTCTCTGACTAATTTCACTTAGCATAATACCCTCCAGTTCCATCCACGTAGCTGCAAATGGCAAGATTTCATTCTTTTTGACTGCCGAGTAATACTCCATTGTATACATATCCCACGTCTTCTTTATCCATTCATCCATCGATGGACATCTGGGCTCTTTCCATACCTTGGCTATTGTTGACAGTGCTGCCATAACCATGGGGGTGCACGTGTCCCTTCGAAACAGCACACCTGTATCCCGTGGATAAATGCCTAGTAGTGCAATTGCTGGGTCGTAGGGTAGTTCTATTTTTAGTTTTTTGAGGAGCCTCCACACTGTTTTCCAGAGCGGCTGCACCAGCTTGCATTCCCATAGCTCAAGAGTTTTTATCAAAACCCAATGGTTTTCCCCTAGGGAATGCAGCCATGCTAACGTCACCAGAGCGGAGCCACTCATAACCCTACAGATAATAGTCGCTCTGTGCTTCGTGCTGGCTAGGTGCTGGGCACCACACTCATCTGGAACTGATACGATTTCTGATCTGGAAGATGGGTGGGTACTATCAAACCCATTTTACAGTTGAGGACACTGAGGCTCCGAGAAATCCAGTCACTTCCCAAAGTCCTTGGGACATAAATCTTATGAACAGTCCCAAAGGCCTTCTCAAGGCTTCTCACTCTCCCTTGGCTGCTGCTGTGCCTCACTTGGGCCCACGTGATTCTGCCAAACCTCTTATAAGTCCTGGGAGTGGGGGCCCTTCCCAGCCACCTGCCCAGAGGTCCTGGCTCCTCTGACCTCTTCTAGACTTGGATGAAATACTATGCAGCCTGGTGTGAGAACTGACATCCCAGAGGCTGCTGATGGCACTGGGGGACACAGTCATTAAGAAGAGTGAACTCCCACTGGGGCACGCTGGCCACATCCTTCCCCTCTCTTCTTCTCTCCATGGACTGTTTCACCACGGTCTCCTCTTGCTGCCCGTTCACAGAATCCCCATGCGCCAAGCCAAGAGATCTTGTGTGGTGACCTGGGTGTTTCTCCACGGCTCTTTGTGAGACAACAGCCATCAAGGTAAGACACCACAGCGTTGTTTCGCATCCTCTCACCTCATTCCCTTTTGTCTCACCTTCGTGGCCTGGGTTGGCAGCCCCCAAATGAAGCATCCCAATCTTCATCTTTGCTTCAGGCTCTGTATCCTAGACCAGCTGGTCTAAGACACATCTAGGCAGACTGCCTTCTCACTATGGAAGGTGGGGCTTCCTACAGGCTGAACTTGGAAGTGAGGTGTGATTTATGGCTCTCTGGTCCTGCCACGAGCTGTAGGAATGACTCCCATCTAAAAGATACAGTGGTCATTTCCAGCCTTGCCGACCAGCGCTAGTCTTCCTTCTTCTCCCGGCCTGCCCATTCCATCCTAGTCTTACAGGGACCCTCCGACCCACCCTAAGCCATGGTTAATCTGTCCACTGGGGACACCTGACCCAAGCTGAACCAATGAATTCCTCCCGTCCTTGGGATTTTTTAAAAGCGGGGATTAAGTGACTCAGTCTGTTTTCCTTTACACACTCTCTCTGAAACAAACACCCACAGGATCTACAGCTGCATGTAAGAAATCTCGTGAGTGGTTAGTGGCCATGCTGTCTGCCACCTAAATAAGGTCAGCCTGTGGCACGAAAGAAGAATTCTGCCAACAGGCCGAGAGAAACCAAGGCAGGAGCTACTGAAAGAGACTTACTGGCTGTCCCAGGCATGGCTACTGAGTTCCTTAAGCTCAGCTGCTCTTTTACCCTCCCTGGGGTTTGCTTGGTCTAGGTGCTTATCTACTACCTTCCATTAAACGCCCCCTGTTACCCAATGCCATCCTAATGGCGTCTATGTCATGGGCCACCAAAGGAAGCCCAGTGAGCACAGTGTATTCCCACTGACGGGAGTGGAATGTAGAAGTGGGAAGAGGCTGGGTTTGGGAGGCCTACAGGCCTGGGGATGAGTCCTGAACTCCATGGCAAGGAGTTTAACCTCTCTGTACCTCAGTTTCCAGATCTAAGAAATCAGGAGAACACCACCATCTTTCAAGGTAAGCGTGAGGATCTAATGAGATCATGCGTATAACATGCGTAGCACAGCCTGCTCCCCATCCCCCAATATCTGCTCAAGATGCTGACTCCCTTTCCCTGTCTCCCAAGTCGGTGGTGGGGACTATCTGCAGAGGCAGGTTTTGCTTCTGGCCCGGGACCCACTGGGTGTAGTCACAAAGCCCTGTGAGTCGCTCTGAACTGTCTTCATCCTAGCACTCTAGACTGAGAGAACAAGACCCAGAGGCTTCCCCCAGAAACTGAAGATTCATAAACTCTCATCCCCGAAGTCTACCTCACATGTCATATAGCTTCACCGTTCACACCGGACCACTTTGAAAATCCTCAAGAAGTGGTCATTTAGCTTGGCCCTAATACCTTCAGTGACAGGACGCTCACTTCCTCACAAAGGCAGCGCATTCAAGTTTTACATAGCTATGACATTTACTTTGCCTCCTCCAACAGGCTTGGAGTCTTTGACATGTTGGAAGTTCCAGATCTCTGTAACACAGTGGGATCAAAGCCTTGAAGCTCTTCTGCGTACGTCACCATCATGAGCCAAGGAGAGACCTTCGAAAAAGACAACAGATAGCTCCCTTTCACACGCACCATGTTAGCACAGTACTTGGTGTCCACACGCCATGATCATAAGGCCAGAATCATCTCGAAGATTGAAGATGGCAAATTCTTTGACACACTGCCCATCCAGAGGCGAAGTCTACGTCCCATCCCCTTGAATCTGAGTGGGCTCTATTTCCACTCTGATAGAATATGGCAGAAGTGACACTGTGCCGGTTCCCAAAGCCAGGCCTTATGAAGCTGGCAGTTCCCGTCCTCTGTCATTCGGAACACTGTCTCTGGGAGCATCAGACTTCAAACCCTCAAGCCACTGATGCAGCCCGATGTAGGTGCTCCAGCTCAGAGTTCCACCTGAGCCCAGCCTTCGAGGCATCTCTCCAGCCAAGGCCCCGTACGTTGGGTGAAACCATCTTCTACCCTCCAGGTCAACTCATCGCTGGTTGAATCCCACAAGTGACCTTACTCCACACGATGCCATGTGGAGCAGAAGAATCACTCAACTGAGCCCTGCCCGAGTTCCTAACCCACAAAATTATAAATTATAATAAAATGGTTGTTATTTTAAGTCACTGACTTTGGAGGTGATTTGTTACGTGGTGACATATAACTGGAACAATTATTACCTCATCCAACAGATGAGAAGACAGAGACTGAGTAAGGTAAATGAATTATCCAGACATTTGGGGACCAACAGGTGGGGCTGGGACCCAAGACTTCTCATTCTTAGTCTTGTTTTTCTATTTGATCTTGATGACACTGTGAACATCTAGACCATCAGCAGCAAAGATCACCAACCATTCATTTCAATTTTAGCTGAAGTAACATTATCTGGCACTTCCATGGCCTGGTGTCAGTAGAGTTCTTTGGCTTTGTTCTAAGTGCTTTCTTCCCATTTACTTATTTGACCCTCACAACAACTCTACGAGGTAAATGTTATTATAAGGTCTAATCGGTAGATAGGGAAACTGAGGCACAGACTGATTAAGTGTCTTGCCAAAGGCCACGTAGCTAGAGAGGCACAAAGCAGGGATTTGAACGCAGTTACTTTGGCTCCTGGGACCATGCACTAAACCACTAAGGAGACCATCATTCGAAAGAGCCAGGACGTCTTAGGTCAACTCAGAGGTGATCTGAACTCATGGCCACTGTGTGTGGCTCAGTGCCATATTGACTTCCACCCCGAGCTCTCAAGTCCTTAACGGTCTTTAGAAGCTTTTAGACTTGAGACCCGCCCATTGTTCACTTACAATATGGAGCAAAGCTGTAAAGGACATAGATGTTTTACATCCAGTTGGGTGAAGGGAAGCATCTTTGTGTCTGCCTGAAACCCTGAGAGAGAAGCCGGGGCCACCCAATGAATGCCACAATTAATTTCCCAGTGCGCAATATTGCCTGTGGGGAGAGGAGGCACTGGTTCATTTCTTATTCATGAAGTCACACTGCCAAGCTTCATTTGCATGAAGTAATTTCTGCTGCTGCTACCCCGCCATAAAACACATCCGTTTCTCCTACAGGATCTGGTCTCTTTGCACCAACAGAGATGAGTAAGCAGTAAATGCTGAAGGAACACACCCTTTGGACCATTTTAATCAGAAAGGTGTCTGTAGCTAACAATAAGTGATTTTATAGGAATCTAAAATACCTTGGACTCAAAGTACTCAAATGCAACTCTGCCTCAAGATCTATTTTGGGGAAAGTGTTTAGCATTTCTCTCTGCTTGGCCAAACGCTGATTTCATAACCAGTGGAGCTATAGAACTATAGTTGTCCAGGAAAAAAAAAAGAAGAAGAAGAAAAAGAAGCAGGAGAAAGGTGGGGGGGTGGTCAATAACCTGCCAAAGCCTGATGAGTTAAGTCACTGGAAATGACCCTTTGTATGGCACATCCTGCAAAGATGTCCACATCCTCGCCGCTGGAACCTGTGAATATATCACTTTACATGCAGATGGGACTTTGCAAATGTAATTAAGGTGAAGGACCTTGACACAGGGAGAGAATGCTGGATTATCCAGGTGAACCCAGTCTAGTCATGCGAATCCTTAAAAGTGGAGGAACTTTCCAGACTACAGTCAGTCAGAGAGCTATGACTATAAATGAATGTTCAGAGGGACGCAACATTGCTGGCTTTGAAGACGGAGGAAAGCGGCCACAGACCAAGAGACATGGGTAGTCTCTAGAAGCTGGAAAAATCAAGGGAACAGATTTACTCCTAGATTCTCCAGAAAAAAAATCGCAGTCCTCCTGACACCGCAATTTTGAGACCCTGTCAGACTTCTAACCTCAAGAACAGTAAGATAATAAATTTGTGTTGTTTTAGGTCACTATAGTTGCGGTATAGTTTGCTACAGCCACCATAGAAAATGAATATACCTTGTATTAAGAGTTCTCCAACATTCATTAGCTGTGTGACCCTGCCTGAGTCACCTCACCTATCAGAAGTAGGGAGGGTTTTGTGAGTCTTAAAGTGCATTGTGGAGGTAAGATTTTAATATCATTAATATTATTATTCCAGCTGACCACACTCCATGTGAGAAACAGCCCAACTGGGATGGCTGGGACTTTCCAATTCATAAGGCTTAAAAATCATTTAAGCAATTAATGCCAGCCTCCTCCTGACCAAATATTTTCCCAGGCACAATTTAAAAAAAATGACAGGAAGTGCTTCATCATTTCACCCGGCAGCTGTTTAAGATACATCCCAGATACTAACTGGGGAGGGCCGTATCAGCTATTTATTGCCACAATAATGCTATGTAACAAGATACCTGAAAAATCTGTTGCTGAAAACAATAAACATTAATTTCGTTCACAAGCCTGTGGGTCTGTGGTTTAGGCTGGGCTTGTCTGGGAAGTGCTGGCCGTGACTCAGTTCCCTCTCATGACTGGTGGCCAGATGGCTGTTGGGTGACCAAACTCTTGTCTGTGTGCTTCTCACCATCTACCAGGCCAGCTCGAGCATCTTCTCATGGCAACAGAATTAAGCAAGAGCAGGAGCAGAGATGTGCCAATGTCTTTTCAAACCTCTGTATGTGTCACAGGTAACATCCCATTGGCCGAAACATGTCACGGGTTGAGCCTTAGAGCCAAGTAAATGGTTCTTTAGTGCAAGGAAGTGCGGACACATGGCTAAGGGCATGGATAGAATGGGGTGTGTGTGTGTGTGTGTGTGTGTGCGCGCGCGTATGAAGAATTGGGGCCATTGATATCATTAATCTACCCCAGAGAAGGAAAGCAAAGAAAACTGGGTCATCTTTATTTGAGATTTATTAAGCACCTACTGTAAATCGGAAACTCATCTAGGGGATATGGAGATTAACAAAACCTCTTAGGGAGGGAGCCTTTTTTCTAATGGAATGCCTAACATGAGTGCTCAAGGAGCAAAACAACAGCATTTGATGCACTCCTACAACGTGCCAGGCCCAGGTCAGTCACTGGGGACATAGCTGCAAACACTATGTTACCTCATTGACTGTATGGTAGCTCTGAAAGATGATCTCTATACTCCTCTCTATTTAAGAGGCAGGGAAATCAAAGCTGAGCAAGGTGGAGCTGTGTAGATGCCCAAGTTCAAGATACTGAGCTACATCGATCTCATTCCAAAACCCAGATTCATTCTACTCCACTCTGAAAAACGTTCTTTCGTTGGTTTAAGAGACACTTAAGTGCCCGGCACTGCCCACATCTCCTGAGAAATGACTCATGACACTTCCCCCTTCCAGCATCTATCAGACATCACCAACTGCAAAGAGAATCCCTACCTTCTCCCACCCTTACCCTGGTGATGTGTCATCATGGTTGAGAGATGCTAACTAGCTCCTTTAAAAAAAAATGCAGGGGCGCCTGGGTGGCGCAGTCGGTTGAGCGTCCGACTTCAGCCAGGTCACGATCTCGCGGTCCGTGAGTTCGAGCCCCGCGTCGGGCTCTGGGCTGATGGCTCAGAGTCTGGAGCCTGTTTCCGATTCTGTGTCTCCCTCTCTCTCTGCCCCTCCCCCGTTCATGCTCTGTCTCTCTCTGTCCCAAAAATAAATAAACGTTGAAAAAAAAATTTTTTTTTTAAATAAAAAAAAATGCAACAACAGAAACCTTCTAGGAGAAACAATTCATCATCGTTACGGCAACCTCTGGTTCACTTCAATCTTAGGTGCCCGGCCTTTTATTTATAGTGCCTTCAAAGAGGTTCCAAGTCATTAATTGCTCACCACTTACACCAATTAGATGAGGTGAGCACTCCTGGAGAAATCACGTTACCCAGGTAGCAAAGGCAGCTGTGCCTGCCTAGGGTTTGGCTCTGCTCTCTAAGAAATCTACGTGACAGCCCAGAGGTGGTCTGAGCAGGTTGCCTGGGCCATATGGTTCAAATAAAATGAATGGGCTATAGACAAATGTTGACTGTGGATTTACTTCAACAACACAGATTTGAACATGATGAGAGGTTAAACTAATGGTTTAACCATAGTACCTCGCTACTAAGTGAGAAAAAACCTTGGGGAAAAGCTACTTTAATAACAGAGTTGTCAACTTAGTGAATTAAACTTGACTGAGCGAGGCTTTGTACGTCTGGTTGTGACATGACACTCAACAGCATATGCTGAACCCAGATTGTGAGCTACTCGAGAGCAAGGACCTTAGTTTTCCCATCTTTGGAACCCAGCAGACAGTCAGCGTTCAATCAGTATTTCAGGGAATGAATGTGTGGATGAGTGAACGGATGGATAGGAGGAGGACGGACAGGCAGATGGAGAGATGAATGAATGTAACAGCATAAATCTGGGGATAAACAGGTAGGAGTGAATGTTTGCGGAATAAATAAATGGGTGTGGATTTTTTAAAAGTCAAGTTCCACAATATTTACAGGGTTGGGTGGGAACAGGAAGAAAACATTTACTGAGCACCTTCTGGAGATCAACATGATGTATATATTTTCTCATTCAGTTCTAACTGCACGCCTCCAGAGTTGGCTTAACCATCCTCTGTGTATAGAAAAGGACACTGAGGCTCAGAGAGGGGAGCCTCTACTTAGGGGACCTGGCCAAAGAAGCCAGGGTTCAAAGCTAAGTCTGCCAGTTTCCTAAAGCCCGTGCCCTTCTCACTGGGAGTTGGGAGGACTCTGGGGGATCTGGTTTTGCAGCTGGGGAAACTGAGGCAGAGGGAAGTACAATGATTTAATCACAGCCCCCAGCGGGTCTGTGGCAAATAAGAACCAGGGAGCTGCCTGGGTCTGTTGTCCTCTTCTCCAAAGGAGCCATATAGTGCATGGGGACGGCCCAGAGAGACTGGAGCCACCAGGGCAGCATAGAGAGACAGGAGCCACCAGGGCAGCATACAGAGCCCGGAGCCTGAGCTCTGAAGTCACGCTGCCTGTGTTTGAATCCTGGCTCTATAACTTCCCAAGTGCGTGTTCTTATGCAAGTTACTTAACTTCTTAGTGCCTCGGTTTCCTTATCTGTAAAATTAGGACAAAGATAAAATGATCCCAGGATGAGCTCTAATAGTATCTGGCTGAGAATAAGCAAGCCGTGGACGTTCGCGACCATTCTTAGAGTTGGCTGTTCCAAGCTCCTTTTTG